GGCGGCGGCCGCCTGGGAGCTCGTCGTCCGCGTCCGGGAGCGCCGAGGTAGGTGAGGGCGCGGGGTGTCCGCGGGGGCGCGGCTGCTGCGCTCGGCCCCGCGGTTGCAGCTGCGAAAAAGAGTTGCCTCTTGCGCAGAGCGATGGCCTTGTGCCGTCAGTAAGTTGGGAGGTGGTTTGTCTTTGGGGGAGCAAAAAGTTCCCAAGTGACAACAAGCACAGAACGATGGTTCAGCGTCAGGTGTCGTGTGCTGTTAATGTTGTGGAATGTAGTTTTGATCTTTTAATTCTGTCAACTATTGAAACAGTGTAGGCGGCAGGAAGCATCCATGGTGAATGCGGACTGTGCAGCTGTGTACCATGCAGTAAGGTGGCTACTAGAGTTTAACTGTTTCGTCTGTTAAAAGTCTTAGTCAATAATGAGCAGCATGGAAAATGTGTAGTGTAACCAGAGAGCGGTTTTTATGTCATAGGTGTGTTGAGACAAAGCGTGTTAGATGTACCACACTGCTCACAGACAAGTCTTGTCTACTAAAATGCTTTCCAGAGGTCTAATCCTTGTAGCATGCAGGTCAAGTCGTTGAGTTTCAAGTCATTAGTCAGGTTAAGCTTGTTTGACTCACAAGTGTGATGTGAGTTTTTGTGAGCTCGGTGCCTTCACGTTTATGTGACTACTCTATTTTTTTTTAAATCTGAGGAGTCCAGTGTGCACCACTAAAATGCCATGTTTATGATTTAAATCGTCATAATTCACAGGCTTTTTGTGTTACGTAACTTCAGGTGCTGTGAAAACTACTTCTCAGCAGTGCAGCTGCTCAGACAAGCTCCTTTTAGCCACAGGACAGTGCCGGTGAGGGAGATGAAGAGCTTTCCATGCTCTCCCTCTTCTCCTATGTTTTCTGACTGAGGGGCAGCCCATAGGAGTGAGGCAGTTTATTATTCCTTGGTGTCAGTAAATCCCTGAGGATGCCTGTAGGGATTCCAATTAGTGCTGGCAGTTTCAGTGACACGGTACTTCCCCAGTGAAGCAGGCTCTATCACCACTTCATTTCACTTGGATCTCGAGGAACAACTCCCAGATCTTCCTCCCATTGCCACTTATTTTTTTGTCATGCTTGTCACTGTGGCATATTGATGTCAGTCATTTGTACTGGCTTGAGCTTCTGCTGCTAACCAGGAGGTTGCTAGACCAGTTTCCAAAACAGAAACGTTTTTCTGTGTCCTATCTTTGCTACTCAGTCTCAAGCAAGGCTACACACCAAAGGGGCTGTCATTACTCAGAGGCAGTGACAAAATCTGTCTGGTCAATCTGAATACGCTGCTGGGATCTTCACCCACTGTCATGTTGCTCAAGTTTCAGCACTTTGTTGGGAACAGAGCTGTCCCTGTCAGGATCAAAAAATGTTTCTAGAGAAGTGGTAGCTAACCTTGCCTCTGGTTACTGCTAGTCTCACTTTTGTGATGGTTTTTGCTCTTACCTAGTCTGAATATAGAAGTCTGAGTTTGCCTGGAACAAAGCTTGTCACTCTGTCATGCCAGAGATTTCTTGGCTGAAGCAATGCTTGCTAACCCACTTAAGAAGAAACAAAGCAACTTTAACTAATTTTCAGGGATTTTTTTTCACTTGCCATGCTGTTCTACTAAATAGTTTGGAGTGTTTTCCACTAGCCTGACATATTACTTCTAGTAGTATGATGCAGTAAGATAACAATCTCTAAGCAATATGTAGATTCTGATTCTGAGAGATTAGGTAGACAGTAATTGTGGACGGTACAAATAGCATACTTCAGGTGCTAGTGATTTTCAGTTTGTCTAAAGGAACCTAAATTAAAATAATACATCTTTATTATTACTAGGGTTTTTTTGTCAGATGAAGGTTAATAATGACTTGACACCTTTAAAACTCTTAAGTTGCAGAATGCTTTCATTCTCATTGTATAGGAGTTAAAATACATAGGTATTAGAAACAGATTTAGAAAGTTAATGTTTCTTTTCTTACGCACAATCCAAACTTCAATAATGTGACAAAAGAGAACTAAAAAAGATGGGGTAGGAGAGGGAGAAGACTGGCCAGCAGAGCTAGATGTTTTAATTAGTCTGAAATAAGGAAGGTGTAGAAGATGACAAAAGCTCCAGCCAAACAGAAGTGAGCTCTCAGGATGAGTTAGTGTGGAGATGGTTACACTGAGTTTTGTTGTGAATGAAAATGTAAGCTCAGGTTCTTTCTTCAATTTACTTTGCTTTTAACATTTTTGCGGGCTTATTTTCCATAGTACATAACCATAAATACTCCAGCAGCTGCGGTTTTCTAGTATTAGAACATATGATATCAGATGTTGATTTATGTTCAAGAGAGGAGGTACTGTCTTGTTTTACAGTTCAACTTCGAGTGAGTTCCTCATGTGAATTCTTAGAAGGAAGGTATAAGCAGGCAGAAGTCAGTTTTAAGAAACAGAGATCACAGATCAGTCAAGGCTGATTAGTTGCTGTAGTTGGATAGGATGTTACCTTTCAGATGAGGGCTGGCCTGCCCAACATGGTTGTCAGCTTGTGGTGTGCAGGAACAGGTCCTGCAACTCTGCTGCCTGGGCTACCTGTGTTCAAGGGCAGCTCTGATACCATGCAGCCAGCTAACCTTGTGTCAGACAGATGTCACAAACCTTGTCTGTGGCCCCTGCCCCTCATCTTGGGAGCTGCACTTAAGCTCAGGTCCTTTCCTGAGCCTCCCCAGGGAGTGTGCTGTACCTGGCTGTGTATCTTGCTGACCCTGACATTGTCTGCCTGACTTGGCTTCCCACTTGACCTGAGTTCCACCTTATCACTGAGTGTTGGTCTGGTGACCACTAGACTATTGAATGAACCAAGTTTATGTCTCAGGATCTGCTCTGCTCTTTTTGCTCAGTGACAGTGAGGTCCCTGCCTGACTTGTCCCCTTGACTCCCATTTCACCTTACCCTGCAGAGCAGCTTGTCCTTTTTGCTCCTTGACAGTGAAATGCTGCAGCTTCAGCAGCAGCGCACATGCATTTGTAAAGTGTTGTCTGTACCCTGACTTGCCTTGAGAACTTAAATTGCCCTGTCTGGACATTGGACAAAAAAATTAGATCTTGACAGCTGAAATCACTCATTTGAAATTGAAATATGGCCAAGCAATATTTACATTTTTAATGATTTACAAATATGTTTTGCTAAAATAAAAAAAACAACCTCAAACCCCCTGCGACCCCAAACCAAAGAGAGACACCAGAAAAAAACTTGTACATTAGTTTTAGCAACATGATACTAAACAGAATTAAAAATTTCAAGACTTAACTTCATGAGCGTGTTTTTTGGCACATGGTCCTTGATCAGCAAATTTGTTGGTGACCCCACTGGTCACTCAGCCCTGAGAGATGTTCTTCAGTTAACCTTGCCTGGAAAGAGAAAAGTAATGGTTACTCATGTTTTCTGTAGCATTTCAGATTTGATCCCATTTAATTTCTTGGGACACAGTTTACTTCGTCCTCATAAAAGCATGATGGTATTTTAAGTTTTTACCCAGTTGAACAGAAGGCAGAATTTCTTAGTCTGTCATACACATTAATATTTTAATGTAGATTAGCATTTAATTTGGGAAGGAGCCGTTATTATTCCATTAATGCTTAGGGCAGGGGGGGAAGTGCATGAAAGATCCTGTCTAATCCTCTGTCATCTCAAACTCCTCTGACCTTACTTCATCCATGGGCATTAACTTTGTAATCCCCTGTCGTTCATTTTTTCTTACCAGAGGATTTACTAAGGGTGATGTTTGACATGCCTTCCAAATACTGAACAGCAGTTGCTTTTATTTTAGGTATATTTGCCCTGGTGAAATCGAAATACAGTATGGACATACCAATTTTAGTGATAAATGTTTTAAATCTTGAAGGTTTTCATAGTCAGAAGGATCATCTATTTTAATTCTAACTGAGGCCTCTGTCCTTTACTTGCTGTATTGATTCTGTGTGTCCTAAGAATTGTCCCTAAGAACTAAGTAGCTTCCAGGGTGATGTTTTGTCTTTCACAATTTTTATTACCCCTTTTATGTATTACAACCATGTTAACAGTTTGACATCAAGCTGGTTTTAAGTTGAAATAATCATCTGTTACCCAGCAGATGTGTTTTCTTAACTGCAGTGATTTTGTGCAGTTATTCAAAAGAAAAAGTACATGCTGTGTGCATTTTGGAAAAGTATGGGTGTTTACAGGTTTGGAATGTTACTTGTGATGGAAAGGAATGTCTGGGGAACCTCCAGAGCACCACATTGATGTTTAGTCATTCTGAATGTTTTGATACTGTGTTTTCTACTCCAAGCAGTCAGATTAAGAATATATTAGTGAGACTATTGGGACTTGAATGCCAGAGGTGTTTAGATCTTCTGCCTGTTTATCATCTCAAACATGGAGTTCTGCAAGAGAAATAATCAATAAGCTTTTTTTTTCCCAAGATCTAAATAGTTTTCAGTCTCAGAAATGTAGTGTCCAAATTTGTAGATGGAGTATCTTTAAACCTTCTTGAGTTTAGTTTTTAGAATAAAAAAGGGAGTGAGACTTAGCCTGCAGTAAACTTGTCTTTGACTTCAAAGTCTTTTGGTGTAAAAAGGGGACAAATTCAGTATTTTGAAGACATCTTTCTTTTGATTCACTTAACAATATACAGTATTAAATAATAGATAGTTTCAGACAAAAATTCCACTTTATTATTCTTAAATAGGAAATTTGATTGCCTTAGATGATTAATCTTATGCATATAATATTTCATGCTTCTTTAAGTGTTATGTGCCTACAAGTCAGTATTAAGGAAGTGGCAGCTTTGGGATAAGGGCATTTGGGGGCAGTAGAGCACAAGAGGGTTGAAAAAGGTAAGGAAGGCTTGGTCTACATGACTGCTTACTTCTCATCACTGTTCAAAATGGGAACAGATTCATCAGTCTTTCTTCCCTGCTGCAAAAAAATTGTTTGTGAAGTCTCACAGACAGATGTCCTTTCTCCCTCTAATAGCAGTGCACTCAGCAGATACTAGTTTATTGCTTTTTCCTAGTCCTAATGGCAAGAGTGGTGTGAGTAGGCTTCAGTTTACTGAGATGCATATAAATGTCCATATATGATGTGCCATGGTCAGCTTTTTCTCTTTTATTTTATTTTTCTGGAAAAGTTACTATTTCTTGTCTTTTTCTGTTTGCAGTCCAGATACTGTTAGTTCAAAAGACTTTCTGTGCATAATGATACAAAATACAGTAGACTGTGTCAGTGACACTAGTAATTGTGGTGTTTGGTTTTTTTTCTTGCACACGATGGGCTACAGAGAAACAAACCAGCTTTTTCCAAAAAAATGTGAGAGAATTTCAAGAGGACTTCCCATTTTTACAGTGGCAGGGTAGCTGCTACCTCTTTAGCTATCTCTTTATGATAATGCTATTTGTCAATTAGTATTAATTGATTAAGACACATGTTTTGTTATTAAGGATATCTGTTGCGATTATTAGTTTGTAGTCATTATTTCACATCTGGTCATGCTTGGTTTTTGTGTCTGCCACTCTCAGCAGATGGATACCACACTGGGAAGTCCCTGATAACAAGATTATCACTTCACTCTCTTTTAATTGGCAATTTATATTAAGAACCACTCTGCCATGATCATACAGCTCCTCTGATGATTTCTTTGTTTTTGTACCTTTGTTTTCTGATTTGCTTTAACTGTTATTTTAAAAGACATATGAGGATAAGGAACAAACATGACAGACTCTCAGAGTTGAGACTTTGTAAGACTTAGAAGCACATGGCAAGTGAGAAGTTTTCCATGAAAATGTGAAAATAAATGTTGTATGTATCCATGCTCTGCAATGGTGCAGGGCGTGTTTAAGGTTCTTTTTCAGGAAGCTAATTGCTTCTGAGATTTGCTGTTCAATACATTAGAAGTTTGGATTTGTTGTAGCCACTGTTTTTTCTTCTATGCTGTCTTAAGCTAATATTATATTCCCTGGAACATTAGGTTCCCAGTACAGGATTAACAATTTACTGTCAATGCACTTTTTGTTGCCCCTTAGGAAAAAAAGGAAAAAAGGCAAAAAGCTGTGTACTCACAGTTACAGTTCTACAATTTAGGTGAATTAATACAGTTTTGCAGTTTAACTTTGAAGAACTTAATTGATTACCTTGGGAGAATGCTGTTTTTTCTATTAAGAGAATTTTCTGGATAAGAACAGAAAGTACCCAAAGGTCATGACGGATTAAGTCTCAGGAATCTAAACTAAGAAACATGTTTGGCTTTGTCAATCACAGCACCAAAGCGTTTTCTTTACCACAATCTACTTACTGGTTGTTTATAGATTGCAGATTATGATATGGTGTACTAAATACGCCACTTGCCATCAGACAGGTTTCTAATTATGAAAAGGTGCAGATTGCAAGAGACTTATGTGAAATATACATTAGTACTTCTGTGGGAGTAAAGGGGTAACATCAGTAAATGCATACATGAGACAGCAGTAACGTATTTTAGTTGGAACATGGATGTTTTTGTAATGCTGCAATTGAGGAAGTGGGGAGGGAGAGAGTATACAGCTGTTCAGCACTAAGTGGCACCTTTGTGGGAGAATATTTCTTAGACATGTTGACGACACTTTTAGAGTCTTAAATATTAAGTTCCTTGTATTATTCATCAGATTTAAATTAAAACGGGTAATTTCAGATGTTTCTCTTTGCATGTTGTTTCAGTTCCTGTAAAGCTATTTTGGAAAGATATGCGTATATGTGTAGATATGTTTTCATGTATGTATAAATAAATACACACGGAAATAAAAAATGTTTTTTAACAGCATTTCATCTTTAAAAGAAGTTCACTGAAATTCTAAAAATGGTTTTCGCTTTCTAAGCAGGAAAATCACTAGTTAGGGTAGATGACTTAGAATTTTTTGGCAACAGATATTTAATTTTCAAAATTCAGAGTTGCTATAATAATTACATAGACAAAATATTTCTTGATAGATTTTTTTTCCCCCCTTCAGGAAAAAACACTTTTCAGAAAACATATTCAAATTTTTAATGTTTAAGAATGTGTGATCTTTCCTACAATGCGGCATTTATAGAATGTAACATGGGTGGCCTCAGTTGTGCTCTTCAGCATATTTGTGCAGGTTCTTTTTCCCCCGTTGTGTCTGGATGCTGTTAATTCCAGGAGAGCCTTAAAACCCACTATTTTCTGGATTACACACCAACAACATTGCAGACAATGTGCGCTGAGGAGTTGATACATATTTCTGTTACTCTGCTCTTAAGTAGTTGTCTAAGTATTTCCTCATTTTTCCATGACCATTAGGGAAGGATTGGTACTTGGTGCACTTGGCGCTTACTGTGACAGACGTGAATGACAATGTACCTGAATGGGCCATGGAGCCCTTCCCGTTTTTGGCTGTGGTTTCCCCTGAAGCTGCAGGAGGTACTGAAGTATACAAGCTGCTTGCTGTGGATGCAGATGAAGGGATCCATGGAGCTGTAGAATATTTTCTCTTGGAAGGTAAATTTAAATCCTCTAATTTCCTTTGTATTAGGCTTCACTATTGTGACTTTTTTGTCTTTTATCCTCAGTTTTGTTAGTGAAAGATCTTCCCTTCCTCCTGCAAAAGGTTCATAAGCCTTCAGCTTCTTTTGTCTGAGAAAAATAAACTTTTTTTTGAGGTTATGAACGGATTTGTCAGATTTGAAGTGTGTTCTCCTTGCAGAGTTGTGTTCCTGCTTGGACTGTTCTCCAGGGGATAATAAGGACTGGAGCAGTCATTACTCCTCAGTGCTTTGGCAAGGGGGTGGCAATGGCAGCAGGAGTTGGCACCTCCCTGCTGAGCTGCATGTTTATTAGATAGGGCAGTATTTGAACAGTTTATTGGGTGGAGGGGGTTAATGCTCCTTTTCCCTTGTGGGTGTTGTGGCTAATTTCTGATTGATTTTTAAGGCTCTGGGTTGTGCCTTAGCTTTATAAATCTAGTATGGACTCAATAATTTTATTTGTGGAGCTCTTAAAAGAAACATCAGTAATAGTTGAAAACTGTCTACTCAAAGGGGGAGCAGCAATAA